TACTTAAGGTATTAGTATATATTTTTCATCATCGTACATATTATAAATTTTTACAAGAAATAGGTGTATGGAGAACTGTAAAATTTTAATAATTTCAATAGGATGCTTTGATAAAATCTTTTAATTAAATTGGAACAAAATTACCAATATTGCTCCTACAGTCGGTGTCAAAGGATACTTTCATTAACTTTCTTAAAAACCCTGATTCTTAAATGAAAATGGTGGTGGGGCTGTAAGAGAGATATAAAACGCCTTGCCATAGAAAAGAAAATGTTCTGCACGGAGATAAATCCTCATGTAAGTAATTTGATGGACATGTCTCCATTAAACTCGTCGCTACAGAGTATTTTAATTTTCTTCACTTAACCGTTGTTTATAACACCTAAAACTAATCGATATAGATATGCAGTTATATATAAATAAATTATCAGGATGACGAGACGAGTTAAATTCCGGTTGACTGTCTCTTCATCCGCACGTCCGTGCAAGCTATAACTTCAGTAAAAATTGAAAAATCTTGCTGAAACTTGCTACACGTGTGCACTGCCACGATAAGAAGGTCAATGTTGTAGATAGGCGTGATCACAACACTGCCACGTTCACATTATGCCATTAATCGAATACCTACAAAATGCCAGAACTATGCCGAAAATTAAGATACAAAACTGTAATTTGGTACCTTGAATCGTAGCATTGAAAGAGTGACCCCGGCCGTCCTATAAATTTTATGTACATATCTTACAATCAACTGAAGGTATATTAAACAAATTCGCTGAGGACAAATACTATTGGCATCTCCTTTAATACAGTGAAAATTAGTCAAATCGGCCTACCTACTCCCCATATAACGGTTATGTTGAGAACGAATAAAACTCTCTAAATAAATATGTCGGATACTATGAAAATTTATCAAAACTTGAGTGGCCCCGCCCACTTTTAGGTGAAATTCTATATCTCAGGCTTACCAGACCAACATTGTTCAGATTTAATGTTTACTTATTTTGAAATTTTTATAGTACGGTATAAAAATGGGCGAAATCCGACTATAAACACGTCTTCTTTCCATATATAACAATTTTTTTCTCAATATTATTCTTCCATTTTACTGTTTATAATTCGTGCGCCAATGACGTTATTGTATACATTTCACGTTTGAAAATTCTTTCGGATACTTTATATAAACGCATTTTTTGGATACTTTATACTAAAGCGCTTCAAACTTCCGGTCATATAAATATATCGGTAAATATGTAAGATACCTTAACAAAATTAAGTGAACGTATAATATTGGATTTACCATATCCCATTTCTCATGTACTACACGTAATGATTTTCGGTAGTCTAACAGACTTTATGCACAGTGTGTGAATTATCTTTACAAAATTACGTGGAAACATTGGTGTACTGGAAAGTGAAAGAATCAGATGGAATTTATAGTTTTGTTACATGGAGAGTAGGTGTGGTTTTTGTCCGATTTCAGTAATTTTTACATCGTAATATAGGAATGTCAAGGCAATATAAATTATGTTCCGAATTTGGTTGGAATTGATCGAGGTACGACAAAGTTTCGAAATTTAAAGCGCAGATAAAAAATCAACATAGGTTGAAAGGTTTGCTTGACCTTATATATCGTTGTTAAAAAATTGCACGCAACTGTATATAGTTACATACATACATACACTAGGTAGAAAAAGTCTCCGCTCACTGGATACAAAATCATTTAAACTTAAATAAAAGAAAATAAGAGATTAAAAAAATTTTTTTTGTGTCAATAATTCATATCTTTTCGTTTAAAAAACTTAGCTTTTTTTCAAATAATTTAATAAACAAAAGCCATAGGGTTTATTTTCATTTTAAAAACAATTAACCTAAACGGAAAAACTCTCCACTCATCAAACAGAACACAATTATATCAAATAATTATAAACAGTTTAATAGCTTTTTTATAACTTCTGGTAGACGTTTAGCCATGGAATGTACTAACTTCCTCGTATCTTCAGCCGACATTTTACTCCATCCATCCAATAAAACGGTCTTGAGCATTTCTTTGCTGGTAATCGTATGTGAGCGAATTCTGCGCTCCAACAGAGTCCATAAATGCTCAATAGGATTGAGGTGATTGTGGAGGTGAATGCAGCTGTTTTGGAGCAAGGGCAAACAAATTCTGCGGGAAACAAAAACAC